TATCTTTTATATTTGAAATTGCATGAATTGGTTGTTCAGAAAGTAATCCCTTCTTCCCAACTTGTCCAAGATCCAAGTTGGATGTTTCTTTCTGCTTACAGCTCCTGTTTCCTCACAATATTTTAAGCCTTTTATTTACTTATTTATTTATTTATGTATTTATTTATGTATTTATTTATGTATTATTTATTTACTTAATATCTCTCTCTCTCTCTCTCTCTCTCTCTCTCTCTCTCTCTCTCTCTCTCTCTCTGTGACTGAGTGTGTGGGAAGATCAGAGGACAGCTCTTTGTAGTTGGTTCTCTCCAGTCACCTTGTAAAATCTGGGAATCAAACTGAGATTGCTGTGAGAGCCTCTACCTGGGGAGCCATGTAGCTGGCTCAAGAACATTTTAAAGAAGGATGAGGAATTAAAATACACTTGACAATGTATGAAATATACGAGCTTGACTACACTGCCTATTTTTCAAACAAGAAAATCAAGTACTGGGTGTTTCAAGAGATGAGAGAATGTCAAGATACACAAAACTACTAAGTGGCCAAATTCTCATCCAACCAGGACTGACTGAAAACACATCTATTTTTGTTTTGGAAAGCATACAATGAACAATTGTATGATTTTTAACAGTTATTATATCATTTTTTTTACAACTTCATAAATGATGGTTATATAATTTCTACCCCATACTCTCCCCTTTCAGTTCTTCCCATGTCCTCTTAGCCATCTCAACGACCTCCTCTTTAAATATATGTATACATATATTTATATCCTATGTGAAATGTATATATTATTCTTTCAATCATCTATCCATCTAACCTGTTTAACCCTCTTAGAAATATATATATGAAATATATATATATATGCATGCTTAAGGAAAATCACTTGGGATTGGATAATCTGTCAGGTGAGTATTGGAGAAAGATGATTTTTTTTTCTTTCTTGGCAGCCATTACTTACCTGAAGTGCTTCATCTAAGGAGGGATTGTAAGAGTTCCATCATTCATATTTAGATGTTAAATAGTGGTGTCATTGTGCGTGTCTTCTTTGGGTTCAGATTTTGTGGGTGCAATTCCCTGTCAGATATGGAAGATTGTATCTTGTAGCAGACTTCCTAGTCCCTTGGCAATTACAATATTTCTGTTCCCCATTCTACCGTTTTCTCTGAGCCTTGAGTGTAAGTGTTGTATTATAGAAGTAACAAAGGGAGTGTACCCCACAGTCAATTCTCTCTATTTTAATCAGTTGTACATTTCTGTGATGGTCTTTATCTACCACAAAAAGAACCTTCATTGATGAGAGCTGATAACTACATTTCTCTGTGAATATAAGAATAGGTATTTAGGATACAGTTGGGAAATGGAAAGGTCTATGAAGGTGGTAGTTGTCAATTTTCCTCTAATGTCCATGACCTCATCAGCTATAGGAAATTGTTTAGGTTAACAGTACCAGGCATGATCTTGAAACTGAGCAAGGTTTATGCCCATTTAGGTACCTGTTGATTATCCCTGAAATATAAGCCCTGATATTTCACCCTTGAGGATATCTTGCTGCGCTGGTCATTGTTGTGGTTCATAGCCTTCACATTTCAGTGAGACTTTAAATTTCTTTCTTCCATGGCTACTTACATAACGCCAGAAGATACTAAGTTCTAGGCCTTGGAGAGGAGGTCTCTAGCTCAGTTCTAGTTTAAATTCTCTAAGTCCGATGTCTGAAGTATGTGGTGTCATCAGCAATAGAGTTGGTCTTAGCTTCAAGTTCTAGAAGACACCAAGGGCAACAGCAAAGCTGATACTCTTTGGGAAGTCTCTTGGACTTCTCTGATGACTGACTTGAAGAGAGAGGATTCCTATGTGTGGCACTGAGGTTTTAGTTAGATAGTCTGTGTTTTTGTGGGGAAAAATTGTCACCTTAATAGGTATAGTTTCATCTATAGATAGAAACATGTATAGAGCTAAACTTACATATTATATCTAATTTTAAATAAACATAGAATAACATAATTCCTTACGGCTTTTTCAAATATCTTCAGTGCTTTTTGTTCCTTCTGCTTCTCTTTCCCTCAGTATTACTCTCCTTCATCCTCCACAAATGAAGCCCCCTTCCCATTTCTCCCATTCCCCCCCTTCATAACACCCATGTCCTTCTATCTCCATCTCTAGAGGTCTTTCCTCACTTACAATGATCCCTTTATAATTTCCTAGTTACTCCAGGATATGTGCTCACACTTAAAAATTTGGAGCTAGGTGCTTTAGATGAAAGAGATGCTTGTCTTTCTAGGTCTTGGCTACCTCATTCAATGCAATCTTTTCGAGTTCTATCCATTTTCCTGCAAAGTCCATGATTTCATTTTTTCTTTAACACCCCGTAGTATTCCCCACACCCATTCCAGCATTTGTTGATTATTCTTGTTGGTTATTTTGTTGATCTTTGACTTTCTGACTGTGGTACAAAGAAATCCCAAAGCTGTTTTGATTTGCAGTTCCCTAATTTGCTTAGGATGATGAATATTTTTTGAGATATCTATTAGCGATTTTTTTTCCTTCTTTTGGGAACTCTCCATTTAGTTCTTGGGTCTTCTTTTTGAATGGGGTTTTTGTTTGTTTGTTTTTGACTCTTTTTTTTATTTCTTTGTGTATTCTGGATAATAATCCTCTGCCAAATGTATAGGTGGCAAATAGTCTTCCCCACTCTGTGAGCTTCCTTTTTATGAAGCTGACCATTTTCTTTATTGTACAGAAACATTTCAGTTTAAGAAGTCCCATTTGTAAATTATTTGCCTTAATTCCTGAGTAAATGGAGTTCTCTTTGGAAAATCCTATTCTTTTTTAAATTTTATTTTATAATTTAATTTAATTTTACATATCAGTCACAGATTCCCCTGTCCTCCCTCCTCCCGCCCCCCTCCCTCCAACCCATTCCCCATTCCCATCTCCTCCAGGGAAAGAACTCCCCTGGGGATGTTGAGACCATGATTGGAAAAAGCACAGGGACAAATAGCCAAACTAGTAGAAACACATGAACTATGAACCAATAGCTGAGGAGCCCCCAACTGGATCAGGCCCTCTGGATAAGTGAGACAGTTGATTAGCTTGAACTTTTGGGAGGGCCCCAGGCAGTGGGACCAGGTGTCCTTAGTGCATGAACTGGCTTTTTGGAACCCGGGGCCTATGCAGGGACACTTTGCTCAGCCTAGGTGAAGGGTGGAGGGGACTGAACCTGATTTGACTGAATCTACCAGGAAAATCCTATTCTTACAACTGAATTTTGTAATCTACTTCTTATGTTTTCTTCCACCAATTTCAACATTTTGTATTTTAAATTAAGGTCTCAGGTCTAAGTTATACAATATAAAAAATACTGCAAAGTTAAAAATGTTTTATTGTTTATGGTTTTCTTTTCTTTTTTTTCTTTTGCTTTCTTTTTTTTTTTTTTCACAGTGTCTCACTCTGAAGCCCTGGATTTTTTTTTTAATACTAATTAAATGTTTCAAAAATGTGATACTTCAGACATTTTGCCTTCTCACTGTGAATGGACCAAAGCTTAATCCAGGATCCAGTACTGTAAAACACTATTTATATTTGCTTTTTATCTCTGTTATAAAGACCATGACCAAAAAAAACTGAGGGAGGAAATAGTTTATTTCATACTATAGCTTACAGTCTGTCATAGAGGGAAACAGGGCAGAATCCCAAGAAAGGAACCTAGAGTCAGAAATGGATTCAAACACCATGGAGGAATACTGCTTACTAGACTGCCAACTGTGGTGTGTTTCATTTGCTTTCATATACACTCAGGACCACCTCTCTAGGAGGCAGTACTATTCATAGATAGCTGGTCTCTCCTACATCAGTTATTAACCAAGAAAATGTCCCACAGACTTACCCACAGGTAATATGATGGAGGCAATTCTTCAATTAAGGCCCCCTCTACCCAGATGGCTTTAACATATCTTGGGTTGCCCAAAAGCTAACCAACACACATGCCAATCAAAGGATGGCATCATGAAACAGGATTTGAATCCAGGCAAGTTGGCAGTTGTAAATGCTGGGCAACAATCTCCCTGCAGCCAATTGGTTTGTCAATGACTAGAAATGTGTGTGCAGTAATTGTATTAGTCAGTACGACGAAATACCTGAGTGAACAACTTAAAGGGAAAATGATTTGTTTCAGTTTACAGTTTCAGACCTTTTTGTCAATGATGGTGGGAAGGATGTGGCAGGGCAGAAGACCTCACTCACTGGCAGAGAGGAAGCAATGAGAAAGCAACAATGTCTCCTTGCCAAATTATTTTACTAATTTCTTCAGATCAGTTGTTCACAACCTTCCTAATGCTGCAACCCTTTAATATAATCCCTTATGTTGTGGTGACCTCAAACATAAAATTATTTTCATTGCTACTTCGTAACTATAATTTTGCTTGTTATGAATCATAATGTAAATATCTGTGTTTTCTGATGATCTTGGCAGCCCCTCCAAAGGGGTTGCAAGTCACAGGTTGAGAACTGCTGCTCTAGACTGTGAAATGGTACCACCCACAGTCAGGATAGAGTTTTCTTCCTCAGTTACAGACAGAAATGTGCTTTGAGAATCTGCTAGGCCTTTCTCAAATCAAACAAGCTGACAATATGATTAACCATCAGAAGTCCACCTTAACCCCCAAGCACCTGGTCCCCAGGAGGCTCATGTCTATCTCACAACACAAAATGCATCATTCCAGCTTCAAGAATCCCCATATTCTTAACAATGCCAACATTTTTCCAAAGTTCAAGTTTGAGGTCTTTTCTGAAATTCAAGGCAGACTTTAACAGTGAGGTCCTGTTCAAAAAGGGGAAAGGAGAATCACGTTCTTCTAATACATGGTGCTACACAGTTAGCATTCTCATTCTAAAAATGAAGAATGGGGCATAGAAAGGAGCTATGACCAAAACAAAACAAACTATTGGTGAAATTATTAAGGCCACTCCACGTAAAAGGAAGATTTATTTAGTGGGTAACTTACAAATGAAGGGATAGGTGGGTCGCGGGGTCTGGGGAAGGTGTATCGCAGTCCAGCGGTGTTCTCTGGAGCTCTGCTCAGTCAACCTCCACCGTCAAGGGTCCCAGAACAGAGAGAGCGCTGGCCCATCCAGATCTTGCAGGCGTGACAGTTGCCGAAGCCTCAATGGGGGTTGGAACTTCTAGATCAAAGCTGGAATGGCTACCCATTACAACAAACAACAACAAAAACATACACACACATAAATCTATACCTTTAAGTCTAGCATCAAGGCACATGTTGATGAGATATGAGCCCCAAAGGTCTGGGGCAGCCCTGTCCTTATGGTTTTGCCATTTGTAACTCACATGCTCTTCTCCTAAACTGACTCTTCTCAATGCCTGTGTCTTTCTTCAGAGGAGCATCTAGATTCCTGTCATTTCCATCTTCTTGAGGTCTTTATCGCACCACCAATTTCTGCTTCATGGTTTCACAAATCTCCTTCACCAGGATGCTTGCAAGGGTCAGCCTCTGTGTTGTGTTACTGGGCCTCTAATCCTTTCTTTGGAATTGAGCTGGAAGCCTGTAGACCTCATTACTCGTGCATTTTCAGACCTGAAAAAGCAGTATTACATGGATATCTCCAGACCAAGCAGTGGGAAGGCCCTTGAACCAGAGCTGCAGAAACTTCTCAATGCTTGGGTGGATGGATGTGGACAAACACTTGCCTAAATGGCACTGTGAGAGTGATGACACACAGAGTTTCTTTCTCAAAGCAGGGTTTCCCACCTGATTCTTACCTTTTTGTTTTTATCATAGGACAGGTATGGCCAATTCCCAAGACACCATTAAGACATCACTTTGACTACCACATTGCAAAGCACTTGTCTTCTTCTTACTTGTTCACATCATCTTAGCAATTGCACTTTCCTCATTCCCAACCCCCACACATATTTCTTTTCCTGGAAAACAGCAAAGTTTTCAAACTTTTCTTCTCTGCTTTTTGCTTGCCTCTCACCTAAGTCTCATTATAAACTTGGCAAAAAGGAGACGGCAAATTCATGCCATGAGGTGGAGTGCCTTGATTTCCTCAGTCGGATTAATTAGCCCCTCACTTTTAAACCAAACCTTCTACAAATTCTCAGAGCACCGACAAAATGCAGAGAGATGGTTTTGATAAAATGTAGTATTAATGTTCCCGCCAGAGTCATTTAGCAATCATTCTGGGCTTTACTAACCCATTCCTCCAAACATCCCTCACAACAGTTTTGAAAGCTTTCAAAGTACCTGGGTTGGTAGTCCTGACAGCTCTCTTCCAGATAATGGTTGCCTATGTTATTTAGCTATTTGTTGCTAAGAAATAAGTAGCTGAGAAACCAACTTGAAGGAAGAAAACAAAGGGCATGATTCCAGACAGCAGGGAGGTCAAGGCAGAACAGAGCCGCTCACATGGCAACCACCAGGAGAGAGATGAGAACATGGCTACTGACTTCCTCCTAGCTTCCTTTCTTATTTCATCTGGGGCCAAGCCTACCACACTCAGACTAGGTCCTCTTTAGCTAATCCTCCCTGGACATAAAAATCTCAGACACATCCAGGGGAGCACTTACTAATCTCCTACTCCTTCAAATCTGATTAAGTTGATAATCAAAATTATCCTCACAGATTGGTAAAATATCCTTCACATTGTTGATTAAACTTAAAATTGTGAACTTCCCTCTGCCTTGCAAAATCCTTGTTCATTTCATTCACAATCTTGTGATAATAAACCATAATTTAATGCAGATCAATGAGTACAATTAATTATATAACCATGATAATTCCCTCCCAAGTAAAATGAAGTTCTCATATAGTATAATAATATGATGAAGAGATCCATCTTATGTTATTTATTCAAAATTTAAAAAAATTTAAAGGATATATATTTTTTATCACTTGAGTAGACACTTTAAGTGATTTGATATTAAGTAATAAAAAAACTGGAGTTATAATTATTACATTAATTGACTGAGTAGGCAAGTTATTATAATTGCAAAGATTTTTAAAAACAGTTTATTCTTTTAATTAGAAAACTATTTCTATAAAATAATTAGTTATATTGTGTTATCTTACAAACTTAAGATAATTTATACATAGGTATTGCAAGCTTTTTTTTAACATAAAACACTGTAAGTACCACATATCATTTAAATTTATCATTTTATTTTAGTTACCTTCACATAAATATGTATATAATGCAAACTGAGAGGCATTTACAATTCTTAAGCTGTTAAAAGAAAGAAACTCAATCAAATATAGTATAATGATGCCCTTGGATAATTATAATGAAGTAATAACTGACCTTCACTGTGTATTAAACTGTGACATCTTGAATTCAGTTGCCAATATAAACTGCAATTACCAAATCACTTGGTGGTTTAGAAAATCAAACCATATTCTCTCCAGCTATTCTTCTGGCTTGGCATTACCTTCTAAATTTCAAGCTTACTCAGGTCTGCCGTGGTGCAGCAACTGCCTACATTTATTGACAAGCAAATATTTTCTGATCTGTTGCCACAAAGAAAGGATCACCCAAACTGAGAGGCCAGATTAAAAATTGAAATCCTGTCAAATGTCCAATTCTCAGCATGACTTATTATTTCGTATTGTCATTTTCTGTACCCACAGCGTTAAGTCTTGTTAATTTTAGCACATTTAAAAGAATCCTAAATCATGGGTTTAAAACTAATGGGGTTGAACAGACATTTATTTATCCTGCAAAGTGGGCCAATAAACAATTTTGTGTTTTCAAATGCCAATTTTGAAGTTTGAAAGTCAAAGAACGTATTGCTAATTTTAAGTAAAATCACTTACTTTAAGTAGACATAAAAACAAATATACACATGCTGAAAAAACATTCCTACAGGATCCATCTAATTCCCATATTACTGAAGAAAAAGAACAGAAAACAAGCCGGGCGGTGGTGGCGCACGCCTTTAATCCCAGCACTCGGGAGGCAGAGCCAGGCGAATCTCTGTGAGTTCGAGGCCAGCCTGGTCTACACAGCGAGATCCAGGAAAGGCGCAAAGCTACACAGAGAAACCCTGTCTCGAAAAATCAAAAAAAAAAAAAAAAAAAGAACAGAAAACAGTTAACTCTAGATCCTTAGTTAGCACTTCAAAGTCAGGTTCATATGGAGGATGAGAATAAAAGTATTCAGTTTTCTATTTGGCCTGTTTTCCTCAGGTCTGAGACAAAACTCTGCATATAAATCATTAGTTGCAAATGGTAGTTGAAGGCTGTCTGTGACTCACTAGGCACAGTGGCCTCATATATGTGTTTACTCTTAAATTTCTTATTTTCAGTATTCATTTCAGTCACTAGGCCACCGAGGTTAAAATTAAATCAGTTAACATTCATTCCCTGAAATGGAGTTCTCAGACAGTTGAGAATTTACCAAGTCAGGCACATTTCAGTCTATGTAAGGAAAGCTTTAATTTACAATCACTGTGAAACCCCATGATACACTAAAATAGTTCGTTGTCAAAAGTACTAAATTATTGGGAAAAGATGTGAATGTGATGATATTTCTAATTTTAGTCAATCCCTTTCCGATCGTCCTGTAGCACCTTTCTTCCAAGGAGACCCAGGCACTTTATATTTAGAAAGAAAAAACCGCAAACCAGAGTGAAAATCCTCGCAGATTTATATTGATGAGAATAGATGTCCTAGAAGATGAACTAAAGAGCATAAGGTTAAAGAGAAGCAGGAACAGTAGGAGTCTGTCAGTGAAGGAGGACCTAACAAGCTTTGCATCTTAGCTGTTCACTTGCTGTCCTACATTTCCCCAAATTAATCTTAAGGAGAGCCCACAGGAGCTGCCCAAGGCATATCTCATGCTTGATTACTCAAGATGTCTTCATTTAGCCCTACAACTTGACCATTTCTATCATTCCACACTATCAGTAGTGCTTGGTGCAGAATTTCCCTAGAAGAATTATAAATTTCTGGGCTTGTCTGAAGAGTTTCTTTTGCACATGTAGCTTAGTGTCTGATGTCAATGGGAGGATGGAGAGCTCCATAAATACTTTGATACTATTACAGACATCTTCAAAATGTTTTGTGACACCAAAAGATACCAATGGGCAAATGTTTAATAATTTTGAAATAAACAAATTTTATTGTTTTTTACCCAATGTTAAAATGTATGGAAATATGAAATCTGTATTAAAATACCTTTATTACCTCTGGTAAGTTATTTAACACCAGCTTGTGGTCCGTCCCCTGTTCAATATTTCCTTTTACATAGATCTTTGTGAAGATTGTAATGTGGCATTTAGAAATAACTCAATCAATTTATCTGCATGATACAGAGCCAACATTTTTTCATTAAATTTAACACCACTGGAAGAAATGTCTGTTTTTACAATGTGTTGAAAAGAATGCATACTCTGGTTTCAGATTATCATCTCAACCATGAGAGCCATGGCTGTTCCATAGGACTTCCTGTAAAATGTTTGAACACAGATGAGCGTTTGTAGGCATAATTTGACATAGTAAGAGGAGGTAACTGATTTTGCCAGAAATGTCATGACTACTGCAACGTTGATTTGTCTAACACTGGTTTACAAAGTTTAATGAGGAAATAAAGATACCTAGAATACATGAGACAGTGAGGATGATCCTAGGTACTAAGAGAGAGGGACAATTACAGGAAGAAAGAATGAGAAGGAGAAAGGAGAAAGGAAATGGGATGGTGAAGTGTTTATCCCTGTCTTCTCTTCATCAATTTGCACAGGCGCACAGAAGGAATATAGTGTTTCATGTGAATATTAAAATTACCTAAACCTGTATTGTACTTTGCAAATTATCTCCCTATTATAAACAAATGTTTAGAGGAAGCTATATGAATTAAATATTAAGAATCATATCAGTTTGATATTATAAAACTCTTAGGAAGCTCCCTTTGTGGACTGTGTCATTTTCCAAGAGGCAATGGTGAATTCCTTAGTTATACTGTCTGCCCCCATCTCTGACCTTAATAACTAAATGGGAGGTGTTATAATGTGGAGTTTCATCCCACATTCATCTATATCAAGCCAGCCAAAAGGCTGATTTGAGGCAATAGAGCCTTCAGTTCCCAGCATGAACAAGGAATCTTGTTTTAATTCTCAGTAAGCAAAGAAGATTTCATCTTGTGGCTTCACACTGTAAGTAATAAAGGAATACATGAAGCTTTCTCATATCCATGTCTTAATAATGCTAAAATCAAGGATAGACTTGAGATGTTTCACAGAGTCTATTCCTTTCAAGTTTTTTAATTTGTTGAAACAGGTATGTGACATTATGAATATCCAGATGTGCAGTCATCTTTAAGAAGTCTTTAATGGGTGTTATTTTTAAATAATGCTTTCTGTTAGAAAATTAAATATTGTTACTAATTAAAGCTGATCAAGTATGAATCAGCATATTCTTCAGCCTGTAAGAGGACTGGAAGATAAGAAGCTTATGAAGAGTCTTGATATTTGGATCACCAAACCCTATGACATAGATAGATATAGCCATTTTTCAAAAACTTAAGTAGCTACTTTTACTTTTATTTTTTTGCTTTTCCAAGATTCTAGTTAGTATTTGAA